AAAACGGCTCATTCTAAAGGTAACAAAACAATTTCTCTATTTGGGTGATAATACACTAATGAAAACATACCTATGAATATTATATTCCATTTCTTAGTTAAAAGGTCCAGAGTGGAACATTTAGAAAGATCTATAGGAAGAAATGGAAACCAAATCAAACAATGGCTCTAAATAGGGTCGTTCGTGTTTTTCTCACGCTCTGCAACCGCCATAGTTTCTGCTTCGCGCTTAGAAGGGTGAAGTGAGGAAGCTGCTAAAATGACACTGTTAGATGCCACTAAATCCTACACTGTGGACCTTTAAGTAAATCTCTTGCATGGACTATCTACTTATCATATTCCCTGAGCCAGTTTGTGACATACAACCAAAGTCTGATCTGATGGCCACTGAGCAGCTCCACTGAAGCTTGGAGGTTAAAGGAAAACTAAAATGAATTTCAACTAGTAAACTATGAAGGCTTTTACTCTCAAGTCTGCTGTTCACACATCCCCCATTCATTTAGGCATTACATTTGTTATGCCACTCAATGGGGTTATGGGGGGGTTGTATCGCATGGAAAAGTAAGGTCAATGCATACTCTCCTCAGGATAGTATGCAGTTATGTACATTAACTAGCTAACCTGGTAACTGTTAATACACTGTGCATTTTATAAGCTGAGCACTTGTCTTCATAATGACCCCTGATCTCCACCAGGTCTTTGCTTTTATGTGTTTTTGAGTGTCATAGGAAGCTTCAATTTACATTATTTACAAACTATTATCATTATGCCTTGAATTCCCTATAAAGAATTGGGGGGTGGTCACGAAGATGACCCGTAAAATTGGAAATGTTGCCCCTTTTCACAGTGATTTTCTTTCTGTATGTTCTGCAGACAGGGTGACCATCCTCAAAAGTTTCCCTCAGCACAAAAAAACAATCCTTCTCTTAGAGGGCAAAGAAGTCTCTGCAGCTCTGTCTCTGGCTTCCACCATGCTTCCATTGATGCAAAACAAACCCAACCTGCGTCTGGGAGACTGTTGCTAACTTTGGTTGATGCTGGAAAGTATTTACAGCAGACCTTCAAAGTATTGCAATCAAATGCGGTTTTTAGGTAGGCAGAGTTGGCAAACCCAGTGCATCTCAGGTACTCAGATACTATTGAGGGTCAGCTACGATGTGCAATTGGAAGATCATAGCTGAAGGAACTAACTAGGCTAATGTACTACTAGGAGTTTGTAACAGTCTATGAAACAGTCTCGATTAAATACTGATGCATTATATACCTACATAAAAAATACCACCACCAGAGAGAAGATTGGCTATTTCTGGAGGCTATAGCTATTCTTTATGCCTGCTAACTGGTGGGATTCCCTTTGAAATCAATGAAACAAGGTGATAGAAACACTTTTGTCCAGAGGGGTCGCCAGAATCAACACAAAATGAGTTCCTTGTAGGGGCTTTAAGACATCAGTATGCTTTAACCGAAGCACTTGCTGGATCCTTGAACCCCCCCCACTCCCACTGCAAGTTTCCAACATCAGAATCTGAGCACCTGTGTCCAACATTTTCTGTAACTTTCCAAAGTCATCCAATATTAACTACTTTAGTGATAGGCCAGGTGTTTGGAGGTGAGAAAGCAGGCAGGGTTTGGACTTCTCCATTAAGCTCTTTATTTTTCATACAACTACTTTTCAAATTTTCTACATGAGTGCAACACCATGAATGCCTTCAAGGACATATTTTAGTCTTTTTCATAGAAGACATTTTGACATATATGAGGAAAAGCACAGGTATGAATAATAAAATGAAAGATGGCTGAATTCCAAAAGAAAATTATATTTTTCTTAGGAATGTGGTCACGCGGTACAGAATGAATATCTGAAATATCTAAAAGTCCAGATACAGATCAGCCCTACCTGTCAGCTGACTTCACATTTAGGTTACTGGCTTGTATCAGAATTATTATTTTATTTCCATTGTGGCTCTGCCTCAGAGAAAAGCCTGTAAAGCTAAAGCAGATATCTACTGAGAAGTTAGTGAAGCAAGAAGACCTGCAGCAAACTTTTAATTTGAGTTTCTGGCTGTGTGATGAAGTTCTTTGGCTTCACTCACTGATTCTGCCTCCAGAACGGCTCTCTGCTCAGAGAAATGTTTGGATAACTAGAACTTCAATCTGCAACCATTTAAACTTTTCCATGACTTCCCAAGCTGGCCATTAGTGCTTTTGACTGGACCCTGTGTTCAGGTGTGTACCACACTACAAAAACTGCCATATTCAAAAAAAAAAAAAAAACCCTCACTGTGAATTCCTCCCACTGCAAAAATCTATGATCTTGGCAAAGAGACGCCGAGGGTTAGGAAAATATGCACATTATTAATGTAAACGAGCAGAGAGAGTTTGCTCTGTGTTTGATAGCGTTAACAGCGAGGGGCTCAGCAGGTTCCAACATGAACTTTGCAGAGAGGAGATACACATTAAATAAGGAAACATCTGCATTCCACACAGCCTCTCTTACAACACGCTGGAGCTGAATGAACATCAAAGCATATCAGATAGCAGTAAATGTTGCTCTGAAACCTATGATTTATTAGCACTGCTTCCCCGGGATGTTCAACTGGCCCATTTCAGCCGGGAGGGCGGAGAGGCAGGCAGCAGTTCATTCACACAGCGCACTGCAAGCGCGTCGCTGCAGAGGCATTTGGAGGATGTTTTCAGGGTTTTTGAGGTGAGCGTGAGGAACATTAACCAGATTCTGAAAAATCACACCAACCCTATCCACTGTAATTTGACCAAATGTATGAAGCAATGTTTCTGCCAAAAACAGTTCAGGATAAAAATCCCTACTTGTATTAGCAAAGTACAATTTGTACAGGAGTAAGACCCAGTGGATCAAGAGAGAAAGTGTGCAGTGTTTTTAAAATCAGGACTGAGGAAAGTTAAACTGAGTTGTCAAAATGGAAAACAAGAGCATGGCTGCGGTTCAATGGTTCAACGAGAGCATTTTTGTCAAACAACTTACCTATCAGACAGACAATCAGACAGGTTGGAAACCAACCAACAGTTCATCTCAATGATCTAAACCACTAAATCCACCATCTAAACTATGCCACATGTACCAATTAAAAAAAATATTTAAAAACCACTCCACCAGCGCTTTTACACTACATGCCACATTCACCCTTTCACAAACATTCACATAGTGAAGCCCATCAAACAGAAACAAACTCATTCATACAGATTCACACAGCGATGCACAGCATCAGGAGCAATTCAGGGTTCAGTGTCTTGCGGAAGGAGCCAGGGATCGCACCAACAACCTTCCGATTAGTGGACGACCCGCTGTGCCTCTGAGCCACAGCCGTGGCTGTACTACATTAACATTTGTGCATGTAATGCATGCATATATCCATTATTAGTTACAAGCTAAAATGTGATGGCAAGATAGTAAACTGAGGTCATGAAGGAATGTATGAATGAATGAATGAATGGATGGATGGTTCAGAAACGCTGCAATCATGACTCCAAATGGGAACTACTGGGAAGAGAAGTGGTGCTTTTACACTAAATTAGCTCTGAATCATGAACTGGTTCTGTTTCAGGTTTCAACAACAGTCAAAAATAAATATATCTTCTTACATGGAATAAACTAGATGCAAGATATGGTAACAAAATCATTTTGCAATTATTTTGACAGATCATGATCATTTTTGATTTCAGATCCATTTTCATTTTCACTGAAAAAAAACAAAAGTTAAAAAGTTAAATCACAATGATGTGCTATTTGTTGAGGTCTGTACCAAACAAACATGTTTTCTTAAATCTGGAGATTTAAGATTTGTCAGGCTGTGGATTTCTGTAGCTCTACAGTACTTCATTATAATGCTGTTACACATTTTCCCCTTATCAAAAAATAGCAGTTTCTGAGTTAGATATTGCACATGGCTATTTTGCCATTTCAATAATATCTTGATTAATTGTGCATCCCTAGAATAAACCTGTCTGTAGTCTACACTACTGTATTTTAACGTTGGTCACAATGGTGGTACTTAGAGAGCCCAATATTTTCTAAACTGATAAAACGTTTGAGAAACACTGATGTGAACCAATTTATTTGGAGGTCAAATAACGCACTTGAACAGGGAAAACTGTTTTGACACAACTGCAGTAAGTACAGTAGGTCAAAGTTGAAGCAAGATGTGAGTCTGTAAACTGCGATGGATATTTACAACAGCCGGCTTGGGTATTTTTGCCATTCACCTTTGTCTTCTGTATAACCTGAAGGTTTGTTTCCAACCTGTCTGATCATCTGACTGCTCGTGTTTCTTGACCTAGCAGACTTCTTTTCAGTGAGTAACCACTTTCCCAGATCTCAGCTTGGTGAATATGTCGTTACTCCTGAGAGTAATGATAGCCAAAACTATGAAAATGAGATAACAAACTTTTTTCTTTCGTGCTCTTTGTTTGTTCTCTGATTACTGACACACACATCAATTCTTCGTTTGTACTGAAACTGAAATGCGTGTTGAGTCGGGAGGAAATGTTAAGACTGGCGACTGCTGGTGAACGTTACAAGAGAATGAGGGAGTGCATGTTTAAACACTGCACAAACTCCTACATTCATGGGATTCACAAGGGGAAGAGCGCAGCACATGAATACATGCGCACTATGTCTCATGTGTTTACAACTCATCTTTACCTTCACAAACAGTGGTTGGTAGGGAGGCACCCATTTATTGGCCAAACATTGGTATCCACAGATATCCGCCTTGTTGACTGTCATCAGCCTATCGGTGGCTGTGTTTATCTGTGGTGTCACATCAATTCTGTGCTGGCTAAATGTTAAAAAACATCTGTATTGGCTATAGGCCAAACTGTTATTTTAAACAACGGCCCAGAATTTCCCAATTGGTGCATCCCTAGTGGTTTGCATCTTTTTTAATGCCCTCAGCAAACCTTGATATCAGTGTCACTGTAACCCCATATCCTGTGCCATCCAGACCTGCTTGCCGTGTCACTCACCTTGTACAGTCCCACAGTAGTTGCGCCGATCAGCATCTGGAGCGGAGGTGGTCTTGGTGGAGCGTCGCTGTCGCAAAAGCCGGTGTTTGCGTCCGGAGAAGGACTGTGATGGGTCATTTTCATCCACCGGCTGAATGAACAGGCTGTCCTCCCCGATCTGAATAAGCCCAGTCTGTGCAGAAAACATGAACAAGATGAAAATGTGATGATTCCAAAGAGAAGAATGAGGAACAGTTTTAGATTAAAGAAAAGTAAAATTTCAAAAGCTAGGTATATTGTCAATGGAGAGTGCTCAACGTAATGAAGACAATTTTGCTGTATCTTAGGTTCTTTCTTATGATCACCAATGGATTAAAACACAGTAGTAATTCTGCCCACAGCCAGTTCATGAAAGCTTCATAAATAAAATAAGTACAAAATTTCAGAGTGCCCTGTTTGACACTGAACCAAATGTACCATTTACACTCTAGAAATGATTACAAGGCATTTTTTGTCATCTGAGATGTTCTTGGAACTGTTGCACCACATTTTGTTGTCATTTATTATCAGCGGTGAGAGCAGCACCATTTGTGTTGAGGAATGCGATTCCAGCACGAGCACAACATCTGCAAAACACTTAAAACTTAGTGTACAAGTGGGATTCAGTAACAGTTTCGGGTAGGTCTTTTCCTAGGAAAATTCTCTTCCCCACTGCCTACAGAGACCCAAGCTTCACTAACAGAAGTCAGAGGAGAAATATGTTACAGTACTACTGACATTGTTTGACTGACAAGCAAAGTCTGGGAAATGCAGCACAGAGACACCACAGATTAAGACTAATGAAAGTAACATAATGCAAAGTACGAAAGCATGCACTGTATGGTTTGCATGCTGTGTGAACAAATAGCAAAAAGGAATTCATGAAAAATTGAGACAAGCACTGGAAATGATCAAACACCAGTCTTCACCGCAGTGTGGAGCATTTCACCAATACTGTATTTTACAGCACAGTAATCTTATGCTTCAGCCCCCAGGGACTCAGTGATAGTGAGGTTTTGTTTTCGGTGTGTCAGTTCTTGACACATGTGCACTGAGATATACTCCATCCATGAGTATGTTTGTGAGGGCAGAGAACACATGCTTAGGATTCACAGCTTTGCCATCTGGCACGTCTATGAAAATCCATTCCAAGCTCCTTAACAAGCCATCCCTGCTGTTTTCTGGGACAAAAGATGGTTTCTATGGAAACATCCAGAAACCTTATGTTGAAGACAATCACCATGACCCAAGGTTATGAAAGTATCAACAGAAGCAGTGACGGGTGGACACTCAGTCGCAAAAACAATTTATGAAAGTAAATTGGAGCGATTACGAAGAAACAACAGACTGGCAGATGGAATGAAGGCGGCCAGAGAGACTAAATGTGGACGAACGTGATGCTCCGCTGACACAGAACCTCGATCAGCTGAAAACATCTAAGTTTCTAACAATACTGCAACTTGGTCAGTGGCCCAACACTTCAAAATATGACTGTAGGTATCCCTTTCGCTTCAATTCTGAACGTACAGGGCTCCGCAGTCAAGTAGGCAACAATAAATATGCAATGTCTCGTAAGACTTTCAAAATAAAGCTTGTATGGTAGACGTTGTTAAACGGTCTCAGTTTGGTTAGGTTAAGGCACAAAAACTACTTCAGTCAGGACCACTTTTGTCAAAATAACTTTTATTCCACAGCAGAATGTTACATTTGGCGATATGGCTCTGTTCTGGGACCTCCCTGCCCTTCCACATGCCTACGTGGAAAAGTTTAAGACAAGAAGAGCGGCAGCAGAGACCCCCCAGGGTACAGAACAGAGCAAGCATCGATGGCAATCAGAAAATGACATTGATTAATTAGATACAACATAAAAGGAGGAGCTGGGGTGGAGGTGGGTTGCAAAACGGCTTGTAGAGGAAACAGCAAAGATAGGCAGGCTAAAGCAGCTTAAATAAGGTGCCATGAATGATATTTGCCAATTAGATGCTTGAGGGAATCAGCTGAGCTATCAGCTGACTTTGTATGGTTTCCAATAGGAAGATTAGGAGGAATCAGCTGAGCCATCAGCTGATGTGCGTTTACAACTAGCTGTGATCAGCTGATGTAGTTGGAATTGAGAGTCGAGCTTGACTTCGTGGCCTGCCTGAACTAACGCTATGTTTAATTTGGTTGGATTCAGGAAAAGATCTCACTTACCTGACACAATTTGGTTAACTTATGTACACATAACACTTATGCAGCATAAGTGGGGATAATGTTAGGTGGTAGGTAGGTTTGTTCATGTTCTCCTGGGTTAAAGTCCTGACTTCGATGACTGGTTCCATTGTGCCTGTACAGGAGCAGTCGACGGATATGGGTTTTACAGTGGCTGATATATAATGCAGATATCATAACAAAGAAAAGTTGCGTACAATTCTATTCCATAGGACATTCAGGCATATGTTTACAGTAGGATGCATAGGGCTAGTAACTAACTTTTTCACCAACTTCCCAAAACTCACAAAAGGGAGCTTGAACATCTTCCTATAGCAAGGATGCTGGCAGATGGGTCTGAAGAAATTTTTTGTTTATTGGCCTCGTGAGCACAGACAATTTTTATTGGTCTATTACCACTGTACAGAGACCAAAACCTGTGCTATAGCCAGATATGCTACACACCTGTTTGTCAATAAATAGTTCTAGCACACTGCAGAGTACAGGAAGTCTTTCAGCATACAGGTTGGTGTGTAATCTAGGAGTAGTAATAGTAGTCAAAGAAAACTTTATAAACATAGGTTCTTCAAAAACATGTTATCCAATAAGACACTTTGTACAGTTTGGGTACCTAGTCATTTCAACACAATTACACTGTCTACATTGATCACCCCATTGCTGTGGCTGTTAGTGAATACTGCCCAGTCCCAGGTCCTGTTGTAAACTGAAGCTTTCAAACTAAGGCAAAAGAACATGTGCACTCTGCTGAGTCGGCACTACCAGGAACGGTCTCTTCTTATTCACACAGGGTACACAGAAATCACGGTTCAGTTCAGTTCAGTTCAGAAGTGCTGTATCCATGCTAAAGCATGCACTATATAGTGTAATTGCTAAAGATATTTGATAGTCAGGTCTTATAGTTTAAAACCCTGCTCTCACCACCTCCAGACACATGGCGAATCACAGTGGGATGTGTGTGGATGCTGAAATGTTGGTTCTGGAAAGTTACAGATATTGTAACTTCCATCCGACAAGCCGAAGGAGTAGGGATGGGAATCGAGAACCGGTTCCAAATTGTCCAATCCATTGGAATCGAAACATACAACAAGGAGTCATGGTGTTGAGGAAGAAACTCTTCATTTCACATTTAAGAAACTACTATAACGCTAGTTTGTTTCTACACGGTATTCAGAGTCAGAGATAACAAAACAGTTTCGTCTGCGCTGAAAACCTGTGTAGACCTGCTTTTTCAACACCAAAAATTGAAGAATCGATACTGGTTTTGGTATCAATAAAATCTTATCACTATGACATTTTATCAAGTGGTCAAGATAATCCTTTTTTCCTGAAATCAAGGCACCAATGCAAGAGCATAATGAAGAGGTTCTATCTTTCAAATCAACTCTCATGGCAAAGTCAAGTGCAAACCATTCAGCACTCTTTCTAGCACAGCAACAACAGCAACGACTAACAGAAGAGAAACGACACAATGCACAGGCAGCAGTCACAGTGCAGCCACTATGAACAGGCCTGCTCTGACTAGAGCAGTGTGGTATGCCATAAAATAGAGCAGCAACTCAGTCTGTTCCAACGTTTGCACAGACATTCCGCTCCAGGCTGAGCCCCAGGGCTGACAAATGCTGTTAGCCAGCATAATGTGGACTGGAGGATGGATTAAAGCATTTCTACAGCTCCACAAACATGGGTACATGATACTATTCATAGGCATTAGCTGGAAAGAAAGGTATATCACAACCATGAAAAGACAGCTGTGGTTGGGGGGATCTGAAGTGGTTCACAGTCCCTCTTTCCTCAGCTGGAAGAGTTTGATTTAATCTCTCGAGCGTTGCAGTGAAGGAAGTAAGAAATCTGTAAATTATACCAATACTGTGAGGAAATCTAAATACTAGAAGTAATGTCTGTTCCCATACTTTCTGTTTATTATTATGTTGAGCTGCAGTTTATTTACATGAGGAAATCATGTTGTTCTCTTCCGTAATGTGTGCTGCTGGAATGGCCCAGTTTCTCCCCATGGATAAATAAACTTCCATTTTAAACTATGTTTAAGTCTGGGATAAGGCCAAGCTTCGGCTTCAGCCACTGCTGGGGTTTGGGTTATCTGATGCCACGGCAGCAGTTTCACAAATGTGGCTTTAAGATACTACTTATAGACGCGTACAGTGAAGAAAGATGGACAGCAACCATATACACCTAGACCTACTTTAAGGATGTGAAGCTGATTCAGTACCACTGGGCTCATAGTGGGGTTGCAAGGTTTCAGCACTTATATTAATGCTGATAAAAAAGGAATTGGGTCAGGACATTTAAACTTAAGTCCGACTTAAGTTCGCAGAAATTAGGACTTGAAACTTGACTGCTGTGAAATCTGAATTATTGTGACTTGACAGTTGCCACAAAATACATAAATATGACAATTATGTTGTGGGATATTTTATTTCTTTCACCCTGGTTGTGCTAAGTTAGAATAATACTAGATCTCATCGGCTCAGACAGCAAAAAAGTATTGTATTAAAAGTATATGTATAAATGGTCTAGTGTGTAATGTTGGTGGATCTATTGTCAGTAATGGAATATAATATTCATAGGTATGTTTTCATTAGTGTATAATCACCTGAATATAAGAGTCGTTGTGAATGCACAAACCAAACACAGGCTTTTTGCGAGTTGGCCACTGTAGTTTTTCCTAAATGCTTGATTGAGATGAGGGGTTCCAGTTGGTTGCAATCTGAAATCTCACCACTAAAAATCACACCAAATCCTACACGCTGGTACTTAAAACCAATCATACCAGTCTTTGCCTTCCACTTGTGCAGTAACTTTGGTTACTGTGAAACTCGCCACAAGCACGAAAGGCCCTATCTAGAGCCAGTGCTTAGTTTGTTTGTCCTGGGCTACTGTAGAAACATGGCGGTTCAACATGGCAGCTTCCATGAAAATGGTAAATGGACTGCACTACAGCACCTTTCTAGTCTTCTTACCACTCCAAGCACTTCACCCTACATGTCACATTCACCCACATTGGGGCGGCTGTGGCTCAGAGGCAGAGCGGGTCATTCCTTAATCGGAAGGTTGTGGGTTCGATCCCCGGCTCCTGGTGCCACATGTCAAAGTATCCTTGAGCAAGATACTGAACCCCAAATTGCTCCCGATGCCGTGCATTGGTGTGTGAATGTGTATGAATGAGTTAGTTTCTGTTCGATGGACTTTGCCATCACTGAGTGAATGTGTGTGAAAGGGTGAATGTGGCACGTAGTGTAAAAGCGCTTTGAGTGGTCAGAAGACTAGAAAGGCGCTATACAAGTACAGGTCCATTTACCATTTACCCTTTCATACACTGATGGCAGAAGTATCAGGAGCAATTTGGGCTTCAGTGCTTGCACGATGACACTTGCAAATGCAGCGGGAGGAGCCGGGGATTGAACCGCACTTATGAAAACATACCTATAAATATTATATTCCATTTCTGACGATAGATCCACCTACTTGTTACATACTGGGTCTTTAACTCTACTTTGAAATAATATTTGTTCATCAAAAAGAGAAATGGGTGGAAGATGGAAAATATGTCAGATAATTCCATTGACACCATAACTGGTCATATTTCCAACTGGTATCCATTATCCTGTTGTGGTACATAAGGGAACATTAGTGCCTCTAAGTATCCTTTTCCACTGCATCCACAGATGTTGGAAGCTGTTGGATGCATTATTACAATCCAATTTGTCTACTGCCACTCCCCAGCTCTACTGATACAAAGAACGAAACCCACAGGAGGACACGGTATTGGGGGGCTTTGCTTGACCTGAGCCTCAGCCAAAAACATGACTGGCTAGTGCCATTTTGCGACCGATGACAAATGTACAGTGTGTGCGTGTGCATGTGCGTGTGTGTGCGTGTGTGTGCGTGTGTGTGCGTGTGTGTGTGTGTGTGTGTGTGTGTGCGCTGAGGTATCCTAGCTGACTGACTTGCAGGGTTAAGGACAGCAGCTGTGACTGGATAGTGTTACATATACCCCAGACCATATGGAGATCAGTGTCACACAGCACACAGGCAAACCATTATACATTTGTGGTGAGGTGTGTTTGTGTACGGGAGAGACTGGGCTTCTCCCGCTTAAGGTGTCACTGAGTCCGACGTAGTTAGCTTCAGTGGATGGACGTCGCACTTTAAAGCATTTTCTCCTCAACGTAATAACATCTAGCAGCTGTCTGGAGAAGAAGAACGAAAATCAGCAAAATGGCAATAAAAAGGGTCAGGAGTCTGCTCTGGCTGGCGGCCAATCACAGCTTCAGTCGGAGTTTAAAGGCATCTGGGGTACACTGCATGCTTCCATGACACACCAGTGTGTTGTGTGTGTGCCTGGGTGTGTGTGAAGTCTGGACAAATACAGACAGCCTGATCACACTCCCAGTCAGACTCAAGATCAAACAGACAGTGAGCACGTGTGTGGCTACCAGCTTTGCTTTTTTTCTGACGGCTTCAAAGAGCAGTTCACTCGGAGACTTAGAAGTGGCAAACCAATATCTGATACTCTGAGCTGCTAATAAAATTTCTAGGAACACTGAATATACAGACAGCCCACAGAACCCTCATATTTCAGACAAATAAATTGAATTAGTCAAGTTAAACCTTCCCTGTGTCCCAGTTCCACAAAATTCTGACCATGGTTTGAGTCTGTAGTATATTTATTGTACTCTAGAAAAATAATTTATTCCAACTTGGGTCTCGCTTTCATATTTTTGTCCATCAGTCTATCATTTATAGCCTAATAACATTGTGCTCAACAGGCTGTCTGAAGAGGCTGGTCTTTAAAGTTCCAGGATTTAGTGACATCTAGAGGTGAAGTTGCAGATTGCAACTAAATGAACACTGTGTCTGCATTTGATGACCTGGGAATGAGAATGGGCTGCAAAGTGTGTCGGAGAAACTACGGTGGCCACGAAATTCGCAAAAGCTTAAAAAGGCCCTACCTGGCGCCAGTGGCGGTTCAACATGGCGGCCTCTCATTCTAAGGTAACAAAAACACAATGATTCCTATATTCAGGTGATTATACACTAATAAAAACATACCTATGAATATTATATTATATTTCTGACAATAGATCCCCCTAAATGTTACACACTGGACCTTTAAAATTGATTTATCAAATGGAAATGTAGCAAGCGTGACATTGACAATGTAAAAAAAAAAAAGGAATGGTGGGCAAAACTACAAAAAATAAGACTCAAACGGTTATAACTCGGAATTCTCCTTAAGATGCCAGCATGCAGAATAGGATTGCCCTGCTTTTGAGCGTGGTGTTGATGGACACTGTTGATGCAATGCATGAGAGAAATGGTGAAGTTACTCACTGCTGGACAGAAGTCAAGAAACTGTTAACAGTGGTGTGATGACTTGTGGGACTGCTCAGAAGAAAAAAAAAACATTTAAAAACTCTTTCATTTGAGTTTTCATATCTGAAATTGGCAGTGGAGCGTTCCAATACTGCAGTGTCGCTGACTTTGTGTCTTGCATCATTTCCCATTAGCTGCCAACATTAACTGTAAGCTCTGTAAACATACTGTAAGAACATAGAATGTACTGTAGCGTAAAGCTTGAAACTAGGACACAATTTCTCATTTTACTGAGGACACCCTGAGCCCCTCAGCCGGACGATACCTGGGGTGGACAGACTGTAAGCGGCTGCTTTTTTCACCCCATACAAACCCACCATGTGTCTCAGTGTCTGTACGCAGCGGGACAATGATCTGCTCATTCATTGTGGGTTAGATTAATGCTCAAACTGTCACTGAGGACATATTGTAAGAAATAAAGGAGCACAGTTCACTTTTAGAGCTGGCTTCAAGACTCGTTCTGCTGAATAGTGCAGGACTGAACCCCTACCTGCACACTCACTTTACATAAGAGCATTATCCAAATGCCTCAGCTAATGTGGGACTTCACTGCTCACAGTGGAGGAATTCAGATTTTCTTTAGAGCTCCGGCTCTGATACAGAACAGCAGACAGAGAAGCTGATGGAGGTGTAACTTTTTGTTTAAGATGGATCCCTGGACAGTAATTTGGCCGGTTTGAGCTCTTAAAATCCAGTTTTCCCCTTTTTATTTTCCCTATGTACACTGTAAAAAAATGTCTGTAGATTTTACTGTGAAAACTGTCAAACCACGACTCAAAATAGGTAAAGGTTTCTGTAACCGTAAATTACCATGATATCTTATGGCAAAACCTTTTTTAACTATTTATACGACATTTTTTGGATTACAGAGTGTAACTTGCAAATAAAACCATCATCATAGCATTCATATGGTTTGCTGGATGGATAAAACCTAAAAATCAACAGAACTGATATCCTTTTACCGTAATAGTAAAGATTACATTTTTTTGTCTTAAAGATTGTAAGTAGGGATCATTTTCATTATTAAGTAACTTGCCAATTATTTTCATGATTAATCATTTAGTAAAGAAAATTTGAAAAATAGATAGATAGATAGATAGATAGATAGATAGATAGATAGATAGATAGACTTTATTAATCCCCAGAGGGAAATTGGGTAAAAATGCTGTCACAAATGCCAAAGAAAAGCAACAAAACCTTACATTTAGGATGCTGGAACCAGCAAGTGTTTGACATTCTGCTTGAAAGACTGAAATCATTAATTGATTATCAAAATGGCTGGCAGTTCATTTTCTTTAGGATTGACTAATGGATTAATCTACTAATCACTGCAGCTCTAATTGAAGAATCATCTTATTCAGCTCTGTCTGACAGTCAAATCAAGATTTTGACAAAAAGTCATATTGTAGAACCTATTCTATGAACTTATGTTGAGCATCAGAGTTCATTCTTTACTTTGGAAATAGTAGTTTGACTAAACAAAAAAAAAAAAAAACGTAACTCAAGGCCAATTTACTGGCTTTTCCAGAGCTCAGTCTTCATCAGTGGATGGAGGATGAGTGTTTATCAAACCCTTAACATACAGTTTTCTCTAAAAAAAAAATTGCTTTAAGGTTGTAAAATAACTGTTCCTAAATGGGAAAGCCTGGACATGTCCTCTGCATCATTTTGGACACATTTTCCAAAATTTTGAGCCAGACAGATTTATCTTTGGAAACTGGGATCTCCAGAAGCATTTCAAATTGTGGGTTTGAACAGCACAGTGTGACTTTAGACTGACTAACCCACTGGCAGGTCATGAGGCGCTAAGAATCATGCTCAGAGGCACTTCAGCAGAGTTCCTGCTTGGAGGGTCTCTCCGGGCCAGGCGGCTGTAATCCAGCCTGCCTTTTCAGTGCATTTAATGGAACGGTCTGAAGCTCAACTGCTAGGGATTGAATGACATGAAACTTATCAACAAGTCCAAAAAATGAAGATGGATTTACCAGGCCGCCGCAGGTGTTCACAGATGCCAGAGAATCGGTGTGGTTGACGATGGAGCCGGAGTAGAAGCAGAGCCGGTTCGTGGATAAGCGGCTCGCCGCTGCGCTCTGGTCCCTGCGCCTCTCCTCCACCACGAAGTCCCCCGACAGAAACTTGCTGTCCCGCGTCAGACTTAAATACAGGTCCCTTCCAAAAGCGGGCAGTGACAGAATTATATGATCGGGGTCAGAGGGTCCTGCCCCAGGGGCGTCCAGGGAGCGCTGACCCCGGTGGCGCAGCGTGCGGACAGTATGGTCAGAGGACAGGTGCGCCTCCTGCGCAGACAGCAGCCTGGGAACCACTTCATCCGTCTCCAGCTCAGACTGGGCTGTGGGGGGGGGGGGGGGGTGGGGGGGATACAGTTTTCCATCAAACAACGGCCAGTGAGTGCAAAAATAACCCAGTCCTGACTCTGTGAACTGTCTGCTCTGATCCGGAGACTCCCCCAGCCACGTTCAACCCCAGAGTTTAACTTACAAAATCTGCAGCCCGCGACAATTAGACACAGCGTGCACGTCATTAACGCACCGTTTGCGCATTAAATCGCCGTGCTGGGGAGTCTTATACAGGAGGAAAGCGTCAGTCTGCTTCCTAGAGCTGATCTTTAGCGACACATCCAGCAGCTGCAGATTGCTTTAGCTGACCTACATCTAAGAGAAACACAGCGCAAGCAAAGAAGTCAGTACTCACCAGTCAGTCCGATGCAGAGCAGAGAGAAGAGCAGATGGGGAACATGGCTGTAATGCATGATAAAGCGAAGCAGGGGAGGAGAAGTGGAAGAGCTGGGTGGTTGGTTGTGAGGGGACTGAAGCGCTTTGCAAAGCACTGAGCAGACTGCGCAACTTTTCCTAAGTTAGAGAGAAGTTGCAGTAATTCAGGCTGGAGTGACTTTGTAGCGCAGGAGACGCCTACACAGCCCGGGCCGGCCTCTGCCGGTGTATCATTGGTGCCGTTAAACCCTGACCCGAGGAAAAGCGAGGAGTCCCCGCCCTCTCATTGGTCGGTGGAGCTGTCAGTCACCGCCGGGGTTGAAACCTTACACGTGGTTTCGAGCGGAGGAAAAAAAAAAGTGCAGAGAACTGGCTTTTAAGGGTTTTGTGCGCGCGCTTTGTGTGTGTGTGTGTGTGTGTGTGTGTGTGTGTGTGTGTGTGTGTGTGTGTGTGTGTGTGTGTGTGTGTGTGTGTCCATTATAACCTCACTTTTTGGGCATTTCTTTAAGAAAAACTTTGTCATGGCAGCAGTAAAGCTTTACATCATTGCAGGGTCTCAGGAGTGAACATTACTTAAAGGAAACATGGTGTACAAAGTAGAAAACAATGAATCGATCAATAATAGGTATAAAAATAAGGAGCACAGATTAGTGGAATACCCAGTCCCCAATGAAATGAAAGAAATAAGATAATAAAGAACAATCCCATAGACAGGAAATGAATGAATGAAATCTAAACAGGGACCATTAAGAGATCCCATCTTCCGAACTACCTTTGGGTCAACCCCTGCAGAAAAACTGTTACAGTACCGATTATATCAGAGTCTTCATCATCAGTTGCTCAGTTGTCAATGAACTGTAGATTCAGCATTTTGAGTAGAGCTTAGAGGTTCGGGCCTAAAACTGCTTCCATGGTTTGGGCTCAGTTCAGGCTCACATGACCTGGTAGGGCAGGGCCTGATTTTTTGGGGACTGATGAAAGCACTAATTTTGAGGATTTTTTAGTATTATGACGGAAATTTTAAATGTCTATGAAATACAGATGGATGACAAATAAGGGAAAGGCAACATGAAATGTGAATGGTAAGGTTAAAGCAGCAAAGCAGGATTGTTTCTATGTTGGCTTGAAAGTTAAGTTTGAAAATTCTTTCCTGACCTCAGAAACAGACAAAATAGGGGTGCCCGGTTAGCTCAGTGGGTAGAGCTGGCGACCCATGTACCTAGGCTGAGTGCTTGCTGCAGTGGCCCAGGGTTCAAATCTGACCTGTGCCCCCCCCCGCCCATCCTCAGCCCCCTCCATAAAAAAAGGCCAATAAAATAACTTTAAAAAAAAGAAATGTATTATTAGATTTAACTTAATCGACTTTGTGATATATTTGTTTGTTGTGATCTGTCCATTAGTAATCATGCCTAGTATCAGACTAATATGCAAATGAAACATTATGAACTTGGCAGATTTGTCTGGTTCCTAGCTACTACTAACCATAAATCACGAGTCAAAGGCTACGTTCACACTGAGAGCTTTAGTGCTCAACTCTGATTTATTGCTCAGATCAGAGTTTTTTTTTTTTGTTTGGCTGTTCACATTACTTTTTAAATGAGGTCCATATCAGATTCCAGTGTGAACAGGTCACAGTCATGAAGTGACTTGCATGACAAATGTCGATCCAGAGCAGAGGTCACAAACTTGACTCAAATAGTCTTGGGGCCGATGCTGGTATTCTCAGAGGAGGGCCACTTCAGTGACTGAGAAGAGGACAACCCCTCTCATCCTCTCTACACTGAGCTGATGCAGCTAAGGAGCACTTTCAGCCACAGACTGATCCAGCCCCGAGCCTCAACGCATTCTGGGGGCTTGTTTGTACCATCAGCCATCAGAAAGATTCCATTGCTAACATCGTACATTACAAAAACATGCAAACAGCAGTTTCTATACATTTCATATCCATCTTTGTTGTTCACAGTCAAACAAGAAATCTTCTTATTAACAGTTTGCATGCATTTGCGGGCACAGTGATTGCCGAACCAAACCTACCCAGGACTTCCAGAGCCTTGATTCAGAATCAGGTCCTGATCATATACTGTACTTCAGCCTACTCCTGTTCCGGGTCTGCTTTGCCTGGTTGGGCGCCTTTGTTCCAGTGAAGATAAATCTTAATATTCCCGAATACAAAGTTAGTTGTTCACATGCTTTATGAACAGATGTACTCACCATGTTAAGGTGTAAAGGGGTTTAGCATGGAGCAGGGTTGAAACCTCTTCTTGTGTAGGGTATCTGTACCACCAGTGCCTGAAATGGGCCAGTATCACCGGAGTAACAGCACTTCTGATTTCTGTCCATATGAGTACCCTCACTTCTTATTGCATTACTGTGGTCTGGACCTCTGTATTTTTTCCGAGGGGTATACAATAAAACTTGTAAAATAATTGCCTAAAAGTAACTATACTTTGATGCTTTGATGCATGCCCCCAAACCCCCCGACTTCAGTTTTTGGACTTCTGTATTTCAAAAACTCGCGTACAGCAATGCTGGTGACCTACTCCTGAACACATAGCTAGCTTAATGCTACAAGAACAGCACTGTAACTGCCCTTGTTTAAATGGATGAAAAACCAAAATAATTAGGGTTAGAGTTTAGGGTTAGGGTTGTGCTGAATAAAGGAACTGGAACCTTTTTTGGTCCAATTCAGGCACCGTGTACCACCGTGGACTATATGTGTTGAGAAGTAGGATCAGGAATTTCCACAACATTTATTCTCCCAACTTTGGTGCACAGTGCACTGACCTCAGCCCCACCCAACACCTTTGGGATGAACTGGAACATGGACTTCGAGCCAGCATCAGTGCCGTACCTCTCTAATGCTCTTGTGGTTGAGTGGTAGCAAATCCCTGCAGCCATGTTCCAAAATCTGGTTGAAAGCCTGAAGCCAGATGAGTGCAGGCTGTTAAACTGCCTCTTCACAAGTGCCTGTTGGATGGTTGACTAGCTTTGGATACCTCCTTCCCCCAACACATTTCCGTTTGATGACTTCTCTAACTTTCTGAAACTGACAACCTGACATTCCCACCCACTTCACTGAGGTGTGAAAGGAACCAGTGGTTGAAGTTCTCTTTCTAGTTCTCTTTTCTCACTTTTGACCCAACTATTTCTGCCCCCTTTCATGTGAACAAAAAAGTGCAACTCTATGAATGCCTTCCAGGGCAGACTGTCTGAAAATGATCCCCATATCTAAAATATGACAGCCGTCTTTTCAATCCGCCTTCGAGTGTGGCAGTTTAGAACAGATAGCCTATATGACTTGTGACATATTAAAGGGAAAACCTGAATAAATGAGTGTAGCGACATGAATACTGATGCTTGTATAAAGGTCATGAGGCCTCACTGAATGGTAAGATGAAGAATTAATGTCATATTGGATGATTATACACCTCATGATTTACATCCAGTGACATATTTTATGGGTATTTCATATTATATTCAATCTATAACAATAACAGTAGAGAACAACTGTTAAACTGTACAATGAACCCAAACAGTGAACACAATTACTGCAGGAAGTTGGTGTAAACAACAATTTGGACAAATTTTGAGCAGATTATTTCCTGTGAATATTGATCAGAGATCATTTAAACTGAACTTTTAAGGACATTTTTATACAATTCTCTTTCTATATTATGTATTTTTCATTCTCTATCAATCATACATACTTAACAGGTGTCTTTTTTCCCCTTCTCATTGTTCTATTAACTCTTTGGTTGTTTTAACTGCATACTTTTTTAATGCAGGACAGGACTTTTAGGCAGAGAGTGAAGACGGTGATTATAGCTTGTGTTCAGTGTTCTACAGAGATCTTTAAAAATAATCTCAACTTAAATATTAAACTCAATTCAATTCAGTTTTATTTGTATAGCACCAAATCATAATAGAAGTTATCTCAGGACCCTTTTCAAATAGAGCAGGTTTAGACCGTACTCCTTATAAAATTATTTACAGAGACCCAACAGTTCCCACCATGAGCAAGCACTTGGTGACAGTGGCAAGGAAAAACTTCTTAGATCCTAGCTCTGATACAACAGCAGTCATCTAATCACAAGCCCCCTCATGCACATTAGTTGTACACATAGTATAAATTTGCCAGTTCTTGTTTTGGTAATGTCTGGTGTTCGGTCGTGGCGTGTGCAAATATGAATAAACGTGCAAAAAAGAAAAGACCTCCAGCTACAACAAACAATGGAAAAATAAAGTGCGAACTGTGACTCTCTGGCTGTGCCAAAGGACAAAGGATTGCTTCAATCAGTCAAGAGCAGCAATAGATATCCATGGCAAAAATAGAGGGTGGGTGAGTCATGCCCTTCTTGTTCTCTTTTGCATTTAAAAAGTTTTCTTGTTCTTATTCACATAAACTCACATAATGATACAGTTTGAGTAAAGCTACAGACTAAATGGAATATACACATTGTTTTCTTTTCCAATTGATAAAGACACAATAACACATCATACTCACAATGGACAGAAGGTAGCGTGCTGCTGGCAGGGGACTAGAATTTGTGTCACAAAACTGCACATTATGTTCACTTTTATATTATCCATAACCAGTCCTTTAACTTAAACCTACTACAAGGAGTTTTTAACTGGTTATAAGAGAGTCTCAATTTAGCACTGATGCCTCTGTATGACCTACATAATCACACAAGACCATCAGTAAGAACTCTACTTCTGTATAATTATTATAATGCCTCCCTTGGATTCAGTTAGATGCAAAATGAAAGTTACTTGTTGCTGCTTTAACCATACCATTCACATTTCATGTTGCCTTTCCCTTCATTTGTCATCCATCTGTATTTCATAGACATTTAAAATCCCTAAATACATACTACTAATACCAAAACATTCTGTTTATGTGTATAACCAGAAATTATACATTGAAGTTTAACTAAGTGCTTGTATTATAAGTGTTATGAGAACAAAATATTCCTGAATATTTTTTTATTTATATATTGGAATTGTTCAGTATAATGGAACAAAAATTATGCTCATTTTAACATTTTTTCAACTTCATTTAAAGGTCCAGTGTGTAACATTTAGGAGGATCTATTGTCGGAAATGGAATATAATATTTATAGGTATGTTTTCATTAGTGTATCATCACCTGAATATAAGAATTATTGTGTTTTATCTAC